ACATGATTGGCATTATTTGTGATTTTTTATAAAACAATGGCATTAAACAGTGATTTTGAATGAATTTTGTTTCAAAAATTATTAATTAAGGGAACTTTTTGGGGATTAAACGTGCAAAACCCAAAATTTCCCCAAAAATTTCCAAAAAAAAGGGGTTTAAAAGGGTTTTATTGAAAATAAACCAACCCTTTTAAAGTCAATGTAAGGGTTGGTGTAAAAAAACTTGGGAGAGATGATTAACAGTGGAGTTCCCCCAAGATGGTAATTTTGGGGGTGGCGCGCTTGAAAAGGTTTGGGGGTTTTTGAAAAGTATGATAAAAGTCAGCCCTTTCGGGCAGTTTCAATTGTTTAATTCGTTTGAAATTTTGGTGCGGGAAGGCGACATTATTTATTATTGCCTTTCACCCCGGGCCCCCTCTCAGGCGCGCCCTCTAGGTGCGCCCCCTTTAGGGGGCCATCTCAGCCCCACTTTGAGGTTTTGGGGAAATCCAATGTAATGAATTAAAAAGGGATCAACCATCTTAATGTTAACTATCAAAAAAGTGGTTTGTTTCAAGCATTTTAGGTTTTTTAATGGGTTTTCATTTGTAAAAAATTTTTTTGTTGAAAAAATTTAAAAAGTTGGTGGTACTGTTTAAAAAAATTGTAAAATGGTAAAGGTAAATAGGACTGTCATTTTTCAAAAACGCTTGGTAAAAGGTTATCTTTTATTATTTAAGGTGGCCCAAAGCAGTTTAAGTTATAAGAAATTAAAAAAAAGGTTTAATTTAAGCTTGAAAAAAAGTATTACATATTTCGCCCCTAGGATCGGTTGGGTTTTTTTTATATCAGCATTTCAATAATGTTTGTGGGGAAAAATTGTCCCCAAAAGGAAAAATTTTGGGTTAGCTAAACTAATGATATTTGAAATTCATTTTTAAATTCCCAAATTTTTTTTAAATTGAATAAACAATTAATAAGTTTTGGGGGCGTTTCTACCCAGGAAAAAGATTAATTGAAAAAAATTTTCTTCAAATTCAAAAACCTGCATTTTAAGAAATTTTTAAGAAAAGGTTTCGGTTCGAAATTTCAGCTTCACTAAGGGTAATAAATAAATGGGGACACCCCCAGCAATTTCAAAGCAGCTGTTTTTTGGCAATGGTTTTAGGCATTATTGAAGGGCGATATCTAGAGTTGGGGGAAAGCGTTTTGGGCATCAAAGAATGTGCACCTTTTGGGGACCCAAGGGAATTTTCAATTCGATTGGAAAGTACTAAATTTTTTCTAAAACAGAATACTGTCCCTTTTTTGTTTTTAACAAGGGGTTGAATGGGTTTAAATTTTAATTTCGGGATGAAGGGATGATTTAATGATCTGATAAAGTGTTTAAAAACGTTAAATCCCGTCCCGAAATAAAAAGAGTGTAAAAGGAAAATTTTAATTTTAGCAAAAATCCTGATCACTAAGCTTATTTTTTAAATAAACAAGTTTTGTTTGTCTCCAGCCCTCGCGCAAAAAAGCAGTTAAAAACTAACTCAGTTTATTAAATTTCCCTTCAAGTTTTTTAGAAATCTGCATTTTCAATGTGGGAACAAAACAAAACTATCCCAAAATAAAAAATTCGGTTTTGGCCTTGAGGCCCCTTAAAGCTAATGTATGTGGGGGCAAAAAAAAGAAATTCGGGGCCCAAAAGTTTTTAGGGGCCCTATTTGATATGAGAAAAAAAAATTTGGGCAACAAAAAAATTTTGGTTTTTTAAATTTTTTAATTTCGATTTTTTAACTGCGGGGGCGTTGGGCGTAAATTTTAAACCCAAATAAAAATTATTTTTGATTCCAATATCGGAAAATTAAAATTACGGCATACAGCAAATCTTGTGTAACAAAATGTGATTAACATATTCTGTAAAAAAATTTCGTAAAAAAAATTTAAGAACACGATGTCCCGCCCCATTTTCTAATTGATCATTTTGGGACTTTGACGGGTTATAACTTCCGCTAGGAGCAGCCATTTACCCAAAACTTGGTACCATATGACTCTACTCAATGAGACCTTTCCAATGGTGTATAATATGTTGGGTTTTGAGAAATAAAATCTCACCCACAAGTTGGCGCTCTTAGTACATACACTAGTATGGCGTAGAGAATGTACCAAGCTATGAAGACGTAATGGGTTATAGTGGTGGTTATGGTGGTGGTGATGGTGGATATGATGATGGTGGTAGTGGTGATGGTGGTGGTAGTGACTGATGAAAAGAAATGAAAAATCCATTTTAGCCTTAAAACGCCCACCCCGTAATCAGATTTTTGTGAAGATATGAATTTTTAAAAGATTTGTTTAAGATTCTCAATTTTTTAAAGATCGATTAGCAGGGCATAGTTGAGTGTGCACTTCGTTGTATATGATTGTATATGATTTCTGACCACATGGTCCCTCCCTCCCTCCCTCCCTCCCTCCCTCCCTCCCTCCCTCCCTCCCTCCCTCCCTCCCTCCCTCCCTCCCTCCCTCCCTCCCTTCCACCCTTCCACCCTCCCTCCCTCCCTCCCTCCCTACCACCCTCCTTCACTTAAACTGTTAGGATCTCTCTCGAGTTATGGCTATTCTATTTAATTTTAACACCTGAAGCACTTCCCACGTATAATATATATAAATATATGAATAAACACACTATGCACAAATTCAAATTGTTAACGGGTGATACTCGTAAAATATCTGTTCCATATATTGGACCGTCGACGAGTCCAACTCGGCGCGCGTCCTGGTAGGTTGTAAACCTACAATCAAATTGTAGACCGTTAGACTCAAAATTGTTACTGTTAGAGTATATAATGTAATGATGTTAGCATGATACTTTGAAGTCTTCAATAGTTACTCTAATAGCAGGGCATATAATGTATAAGTTTAGTGTGCACTTCGTTGTATATGATTTCTGACCACATGGTCCTTCGTTAGGTCATTTTGACCCAAAATCGTTTAGGTAAGCAATTTGTATCGCTAAAGACATCCCTACAGGGCCAGGGCACATTTTCTAAATAACCCTCAGTCGCGTAAATGGGATTTTTGTATTTTGGTTTAAAAAGTACTTTACCAAAATACTTTTACTTGGTATCTGGTTCATAATTTGTCCCTTGTTAATGGACTAGCCCAGTGCGCGCTACTTTGTAGCACTTGCCTCGGACGGTGCGCGCTACTTCGAAGAAATTTAGACGAGTAACATCTTAATTGACGATGTCAATTCATCGCAGCTCGGCGCGGCACAGTAGCCAGTAGCTTGTAGGTTTACAACCTACCAGGACGCGTGCCGAGTTGGACTCGTCGACGGTATCCGTATATGCAATATGGAACAGATATTTTACGAGTATCACCCGTTAACCAGTAGCGCATCTCGCCGATCTGTGAGAAGCCTCATTAAGTGCGCGGCGCGGCACAGTAACGGCTAACGCATCGCGCTACAAGTAACATCCGTCAAGGGCAATTTACATCGAGCGTGCTAAATTGCACTCTACAGTTGATATTCGAAAAGACCCCCGACAGTTGAAACTGCAGCTTGAATCGATGTATTTTCGGACACTGATTCCGAATCACGTACCCCTTGTATCACGTGGTGACCCCCACGGTCGCTTCACTATAGTGTAGAGTTTCGACGATACAGAGGGAGCCGCGCACTCGTGCGCGGCGGCTCATACAACGTATGGCAACGTACCCCCATGCACCATGACATTTGTATCACGTCGTGACTCCCACGGTCGTCGTGACCCCCACGGTCGTTTCACTACGGTGGAGTAGAGTTTCTTTTATCACGTCGTGAACCCCACGGTCGTTTCACTTTGTATCACGTTGCGACCCCCACAGTCGTTTCACTATGGTCCTGACGATACATGGAGCCGCGCACTCGTGCGCGGCGGGTCATACAATGTATAGCAAGAGTTTCTACGATACAGGGGGAGCTGTGCAATCGTGCGCGGCGTGTCATACAACGTTGAACGTATGACAATTTTTTTGTAGGTTTACAACCTACCAGGACGCGCGCCGAGTTGGACTCGTCGACGGAACAGATATTTTACGAGTATCACCCGTTAACAATTTTTAGTGCTAATTTCGGCCAGCACAAAATTCTTGAAACAAATGCGTATTGAGTAAGCTTCCCTAGATCCAATTCTAACGAAAATCGCAGTTAGCTTACTCATAGACTTACAAGGAAAGTGTCCGAAAATTCAAATGTCAAAGCATATCTTGACCATTGCTAATGGTTTGGCCCGGCGCGCGCTACTTCGTAGCACTTGCCGAAGAAATTTAGAAGAGTAACATCCTTCAAAGCATATCCAATCTTGTAGCGTGAATATGCACTACTATACTGTATACTGGGTCGCGCGCGCATCCAATAATGCTTCTCGCAACCATGCAGATCAGCGAGATACGAAGGATTGACATCGTGAATCAAATCCAATCATCAGACATTGGACATATGTCACAGCTAAAAGCAGCGTATTTTGCCCCATTTTCATCACTTTAAGTGTATCAACTTCGATATCCACCAAATTTTTCGGACAGTCGTGAAAACTCTATTGGAAGATCGTCACAAATTATCAGAATGATCTCCTTCAAGGAACCGAAGATATGACAGAATAATACGGTAAAAATCAACGAATTTCGTCAAATTACGCGACTTTTACCATTTAACCTATTATAGCTCCAAAAAACCGCGCACCATCAATTATGGCACATAGGCGAAACTCACTGATCATTCCAAAAAGGTATAACAAATTTGGTACTGTAAAAATTCTGTCTCTAGAAAACAATGGTACCAAAATTTTGTAAATCCGAGAAAGTTTATTTTTTATTGTGCACTCACTACGGACAGGGGGGGTGGGGGTCTGAAAATCGGCGGTTTTGGCGCACTCACTACGGACAGGGGGGGGGGGGGTCTGAAAATCGGCGGTTTTGGCGGACGTCCCAAGTAATGGCCCCTTATAGAATAAATTCTTCATATATTACATGTTACAGAAAACAAAGTAAACTCATTTATGATTAATTTTTAAATGTTTACACTGTAAAATTAAAATATACTCATTACTCGGTATAATATAATGAAAGCGTAAACACTAAACATGTGATTAATTCTTTAAATAATCTGGCTCGTATCATTTATCATCCAAACAAACAACAGGTTGGATAAAATTTTTGTTAAATTTCAAATCCAGATTTAAACAATAAATAGCATTAAAAAACAATAAATAATCGTTCAGAACGATAAAATTCGCAATATAATAAAATGTTCCAATTCAATCGACCGTCATTACATAGTACATACATCTAAAAATATGAAAACAAATGAAATTCGATGAATGCCTAAAATTCTGATATTTAATATTCAAACAAATCAATAAAAGAATACGAATAGTCTCACTCTCATATCAGGAGTGTAAAAACAAAAAACATCTCAATATGAATATCAGTAAAACCTGATTTTCAAAATAAAGGGGTGAAAATAAATTCGATCAAGGAAATCCTTTAAAAGATGTAACTATTATGTATTATCCAGACCGAATTGTTATGCCAAACTCACGGAAGGTTCTAATGTTCGGGCTAGGAGACGTCCACATTGATTAGAAATCTAGACAATAGAGAAGGCGACAGCCACCATAATCAATACCACTGTAATTATACTTGGTCTTGACTGGGCAGAACTGTTTTCAGGGCCTGTTGTCGTATGATGAGTTCCGAGAGAGTTATCGGAGCTGTTTGAATGAGGTGTCGTCGGAGACGATACATGTCTAGTAGCCCTAGTAGCTTGGAGGGGGGACTGGGGGGTAGCTGTTTTAGAGCTTTTCTGAGATTCAGTGATGGTACTGGAATTGGTAGGGATGGTACTGTTATTGCCCGTCGTTGATTCAGGTTGTCTGGTGTAGTTCTCGTTATTAGGCGATTCGTCAGCCAATATCTTGAGTACCTCTTCATGTATTCCTTCTTGTTCCCTAGCCATCTCTGTAACTTCCTGCGTTGTATCTGTCTCATCCTCCTCCGAATCTTCAGCGGGTTCATCATCTCCCGTTAACGCATCTGGGTAAGTAATCTGTTATGAAATCACTTGTAACTAGTTATTAGCCTGATTTTTGATGAAAACTTAACAAATTTAAATTAAATTACCCCCCCCCCCCCACCCCAGTACAGCTGCCGCCTGCCTACCACGATTTATAGAGGCACTTCGACTCTGAAGTTTCTGCAGCTTTCTTGGACTCATACCACTCAAGAAAACACTGTGGCTAGCAGGCACATTGTCCAATCTTGTTGTGTTGTATCTTGTTGTTATCTCTTTAACTGAACGTTTAGGGAGCCATCTTCTGTTTCTTCCTTGTTTCTTTGTGGTGTCCTGGTTCTGTTGGCTAGAGAGAGTTGAGTTGCTGCCACGGCTTTTGTTAAGTTTCCTACACTTGGACATCTCCTGACGAGTTGGTAGCTTGATCTGGCGTTGCCCTGTAAGTGGAGTCGTGGTAAACTAACTACTCTGACAAATATTGTAACATTCTGTCAGGATATAGCCAGTATTTGTGCTGTGAACATTTAAAAAAAAACTGATTTCTGGCTAATGAAAATGTAAACTGAAAATATTGACACTTATCAGCAGCGAACTCACGGTTTGCACGTTCTAAGTCAGATCTTTTCTTTGGGAGTGGGTATTTTGAGATCTCCAGTTTCACATTTGCTAAAGTTGTCTGACCAAGAGAAGTATTTAGTAAGTTTGTGCACTCCGGAGCCAGCTGACAACTGAAAATTCCCAGTGTGAATGTCAACATGAACTCTTCAACCATCAACAGTAAAACGTTTTAGCTTTCTGCTTTGGAAATTTAATTATCTCACCAAGAAGCGGTTAATTTATTGATAAATAACAATTTTTCAATAAAACAATTATTTTTAAATAAAAATTAAGACAGATAAGATGACGTACCCGCCGTCCTGAATCAGGAACATTCTCTCCACAGTAGGGTAGAGCCAGTAAGCGTAAGAACTGGGGGAAGTGTAGTGATCGTCAGGGAGATTCTTCTCAGCACATTCGTCTAGCTCGATACAATTTCTGCAGTTTTGGTTACAGTTAGGTATTATATCCTTGTTTGCATTTATAAGAGCATATCAATTATCAAGTTTTTAAGGAGATTTCGATTCTATAGCTAAATTTTGTGTTTCAACTCTTGAAATGAAGTAAAACAATTAATAGATATGTAGACAAACTCTATGAATTCTTGTCATATTGATTATTATATATACTTATACGAATTCATTGATTTTGTCTACATTTCTTTTGTTTTCCAGCATTTCAAGAGTTGATACACAAAATTTAGTCATATAATCCGAATCTCCTAGATTTAAGTTCCCCCCTCCCCTTCATATTAACTTAAAAACCAAACTCACAAATAGTCAGCAACAGATGTGCACAGTTCTCCGTTATCGCTCATCCTCAACTTTCTGTACCAAGAGTCGTACTGGGTGACGGAAAGGTCCCAAAGACCACTTGTCATGACACAAGCCTGCCCGCACTCACTCATATCCCACCGGTAGGAGGTCAGTTGGATCAACTCTCCGATCTTACGGAATCTGGGAAGAGTTCTTGGGTTAGTTTATTGAGAATTTATCGATACCTTGATAAATTATCGTTCATATCCATAATAGCTGATGTAATACTGATAGTGAGCGGGCTGATTTATTCAGTACATCAATATTAGTTCTGGATCTATTTTCCACGAATCTGACTACACTCTACGTCACAATTTTTGCCATCTCTTTATGACGCATAAATTTAAAGTAAATTTAGCTAAAGAAAAGTGAAAGCTTCCGGTATAAGAAGTGATGAATCCCAGCCCCATCCCAGGTTTCTTTGTGGATTTTACGTTTTTCTAGATAATTTGGTTAAAATTCGACGGAATTTATTTTCGTCTTTAATGACAGAGAGTAAATGAATATAACTGAAAGTAAATGATTGTAACTGAAAGTAAATGATCGTGACGGAGTAAATGACTTTAACTGGAAGTAAATCATGGCCAGTTTCTGTGTTATGAAAAGAAAAAGATTGGTCGGTCAAGTTTCAAGCTGCCAATATAACGCAATTACGCGTCAGCCCCGCCGAAAGAACACACCCACCTGGCTGTTCTTCGTGTTCTAGCATTTACTTTAGACGGAGCAAAACTTGATGAGATGATAAAAAGGCCGGTGTTGAGTGGCCACGTGGTCCCACTCTCTCCCGACCCTCAAGGTCCATCAGATTTAGAACTGTAAATGCTCACTATAGAGCTTTGTGGCAGTTTAAGTTGTCAATAGGTGTCTAGCTCAACCATTTCTCTTATCGAACTGTTAGGGACGTCACTGCTGCTAAACCATTAAGGGGACATACACCAAAAGCTTTTTTGCCCTGGCCTTGCTGTTAACGTCATATTAAGAAAGTATACATAAAAACAATAAGTTTTGATACATTAACAAGAATTTCGCCGCGGTTAAACCAAGCACGATCAATTTTCCCGGCCCTACGATGTACTTGTACCATTAATTCTTTTGAGTGTGACTGGAAAAAAAGTGCAACATATTTACATACTATGTTTTTATAAATGAGTGGGATTCGTGCATGGTAAACATTTACGATTTATTTGACCAATGTACTAGCGCCGCGCATCAACAATAAATGAATCCAGAAAATTGCGGAAAATAACTTTGCGAAGGAGGAACTTCACTGTAATTAATTAACACATGGCTAGCGTCGCGCGCAGCATAACAGACGCTTCCTATACACATAATTATATTTTTTTTAATTAAATAAATATTTGTTTTATTATAGGGGAGTGGTCTATATTGCGAAGGAGCAGACTTTTGTCGTCAACGTAGGACCGTCGGGCCACCTCATATATCCAAACCCAATTACTTATTCCCTACGATCTTTTTGCCTTCGGCAAGAGCAGGAAAAAAATTATTTTTGAGAGCACGCACTTTCGAAAAAATAAATATTTTCTTTTTCGAAAGTTTTGGAAATTTTGAGAAGTCTGTCACTGTAATACCGATATTTCGGTCATTTTAAAAGTCTTTTGGCTGATTTTGTTACTGAAGATTACTTACAATCCGTACAAGAAACCCCTGAAAGGATTATATAATTTAACAATAAATGACGAAGTTACAGACCAAACAAGGTCGAAAAATAAAAATTGAAATTTTTGCCTACTTCTGAAGTTGTACATTTCACCAATCACCCGGGTCAGCAGATATCGCTTCAAAAATTCTTGTGAGTGTAGCTGATGATCATATCAAACTTTTTGGAGTAGGATTTCTCTCAGATTTTAGTTTTAAAGGTATGAAATCTCGTTTTACTGGTAGCGCCAATTTTAGCTACATAAAGTGAAAAACAACAGTCTATATCTTTAATCTTTATATAATTTGTTTGCCACTATAATACCAATTTTGGTGTCATTTTTAGAGGTATTGGGCCAATTGTTTTACTGAAACTTCAGTTTAACTCCTAAAAGAACCTCCTAAAAAGATTAGTTGATCGAAATAAAGATGACGGAGTTGAAGCAAAAAGCGTAAAACCTACTATTTATTGTTACTAAAACAATAGCATATAATATAAGCACTTCAATACTCAATACTCAATATATTACATTGCAGCAGCCGACCGCAATACAGAACAGTTTTAAGTTCAACGTACAATTTTTATTTTTACATTTTATTGTTACATGTTATTGTTACTAAAACTTAATATTTATTTTACTAAAACAATAGCATTATAAAGCATATAATACTAGCATCTCAATACTCAATACTCAATATATTACATTGCAGCAGCCGACCGCAATACAGAACAGTTTTAAGTTCAACGTATAATTTTTATTTTTACAATATTTGTTACGAAACCTACTATTTATTGTTACTAAAACAATAGCATATAATATAAGCATTAAGCATCTTAATACTCAACACTCAATATATTACATTACAGCAGCCGACCGCAGTATAGAACCTTTTTAAGTTCAAACATTTATCATCAAATTTACTTACTTAGTTTTATCATTTGTTGCTACTATATACTAGCGGGTTCAAAGGACAATAGACGGCGCGGAACTTATTGACATTTTGATCTTAGAAAAATATTTTAATACTCTTCTATTAAGTTGTCATCTCAATAAAGTTGTACTATTAAGGGGGCATACTCCAAATCTGTCCAACCCAAATGACCTCATAGGCAGTTCAATGACCATCTAACGCACCGTTTCCACATTAAAAAAATCATTTTGAGAATACCCATTTTTGTAATCGAGCATTTCCTGGTTAGAGTGGAATTTTCGGAAAAACACAATTTGTTTCGTGGAGAGGCTATAAGTTAATCATTTCTTGCGGTATCGGGTTTAAATTTTGCTCGCCGTCTATTCACATCTATTTCAAGGTGTGTGTAAAATCTTGATATCGTATCTAAAAAGGCTGGTGTGTTATAAATTTGTAAAGTCAAAAAATTGAAATTGTCCTTTTCAGACTTATTTTAACCAAAAAGTCAGTCAGGGAAGATCTGGTTGATTTGATGGTTGACATGAACTTGTTCTCTGAATTCTGGCGCAGTTTTTAATGCCCTCAAAAATGTTTTTACTCATTTATCTTCAGATCTATTGGACTTCAAAGCCAAACAACAAATTTAGGCACATTTTTCTTTTTCATATTTACTGATTTTTCTAAAGTTCTGATTTTTTTGAAGGGCGAAAAATAACCGCAACTAGCACATTTATATATGAGTTATGAACAACAAAATACCCTAAAATGCTTCCCTTTGAAGTTATGGGAGAAAATGTGATTTTTTGGCTTTGCAGATAAAAAATCACATTTTCTCCCATAACTTCAAAGGGAAGCATTTTAGGGTGTTTTGTTCTTCATAACTCATATATAAATGCGCTAGTTGCGGTTATTTTGCGCCCTTCAAAAAGTCACTAGCACATTCCTATCAAAATTTTAGAAAAATCAGTAAATATGAAAAACGAAAAATGTGCCTCAATTTGTTGTTTGGCTTTGAAGTCCAATAGATCTGAAGATAAATGAGTAAAAACATTTTTGAGGGCATCAAAAACTGCGCCAGAACAAGTTCATGTCAACCATCAAATCAATCCGATCTTCCCTGACTGACTTTTTGGTTAAAATAAGTCTGAAAAAGACAATTTCAACTTTTTGACTGTTTTTAACTTTAAAAATTTATAACACACCAGCCTTTTTAGATACGATATCAAGATTTTACACACACCTTGAAATAGATGTGAATAGACGGCGAGCAAAATTTAAACCCGATACCGCAAGAAATGATTAACTTATAGCCTCTCCACGAAACAAGTTGTGTTTTTCCGAAAATTCCACTCTAACCAGGAAATGCTCGATTACAAAAATGGGTATTCTCAAAATAATTTTTTAAATGTGGAAACGGTGCGTTAGATGGTCATTGAACTGCCTATGAGGTCATTTGAGTTGGACGGCACAAACCCCTGTTTTGGTGTATACCCCCTTAAGTAATCAATATTTTGGCAATTTTTACCCCCCCCCCCTCCGTAATCAACCGTTATCAAGACCGAACTCTCCCCCCCCCCCCCCTATATTACGTAATCAAGGTTTGACCCCCCTCCCCGTAATCAAGACCCAACCCCCCTCCTATATTACGTAATTAAGATTAGTAATCGCAAAACACTTACTAAACGAAAATTGGTTCAAAAAACGAAAATTTTGATTACATAATTAACGAAAATTGTCCAATTCTTTTCTGCAAATATCAGTGTACTAAATTGTGTGAGTCCTATATAATAATGTTTCTTCCCGGTACTCCTAGTGAAAATTACCTGCGTGAACCGAGCATTCCACTTTTGAAAGGTTATTAAAATAGAGTATTCACATACCTTATTTGGACGAACATTAAATGATCGGACGTAATTATGAACGGACATTAATATGAACGCTAGAAGGCATTCAAAACCATCAAAAATCCGAATTTTTTTCATTTTTTATTTCAGCAAATGATTTTTAAATCCATTTTTATACAGTAAGTAAGAATAGCAGTCGTTAAGCAGTAAGAATGTTAAAATATGTATGTGTCTAATGTCACATATCATCTTCATCAAATGGGTTTTCGTGCATGAAATAGTCCATGCTTAAAGCATCAGTGATTTCTAGCTTTATGGAAACCTTTTTTTCTATCAAACTACCCTGGTCCTGCATTTCAGTGTTAACTTTTACAAGCCATTCGGCGTGAAGTGGTTTTATCTTAGACAACTTAAGGTTGGGGGGGGGGGGTCCAACCCGATCATTTCCGATCATTCCGATCCCGATTTTGGCCTCATCAACCCTCATATCGGAAAAATCGGGAAAATTTAAATCTTTCCTCTGAGGTTTCTAGGCGATATAGGTAGCTATTTCTGTACTTAAATATGACAAGAAATCGATTGGTGGTGGTCCCAGAACCCCAAAATGGTTTCTAGTTCCAAACAAGAATCGTTTCCGTCCGAAAAACAACACACTGTCGTATCAACTCTTGTTTGACAGAAACATCCACCCCGGTCCACAATTGAAAGAGGTACGGTTGGTAATAACAATCGTAACAAATAGGGAACGCTTTAGTAACTTTTGATTTAAATTGTCTCCACAATTTGTAACAGGCTATCTGCAGAAATGGGTAGCACGATTAATGACCATTGACCATGGTCCTTTCTCAAACTTCCAATCCTCAGTTAGATACAAAGAATAGTCTACACAATTTTAAATAACATTAAAAGAGATGAAAATCATTTTATTCATCAAAATCTTTATTTATCATGTAATAACTTTTCCATAGTACTGAAGAGTAAAACTCTGTTAAACAAAAAAATTCTCGAGCACATTTTGAGTCACCCGAGTCAGTAACAGTAACATGTCAATATGTTACAGACTCAAATGAGTTTAAAAACATTTTAGTTACAATAAATTGTGTAAACTGATGAGGAGGAGGAGGAGGAGGACTGAAGAAGAGGAGGACTGAGGAGGAGGAGGAGGAGAAGGAGGAAGACTGACGAGGAGGAGGACTGACGAGGAGGAGAAGGACCGAGAAGGACAGAGGAGGAGGAGGAGGACTGAAGAGGAGGAGGACTAAAGAGGAGAGGGAGGACTGAGGAAGAGGAGCAGGATCGGTGAGGAGGAAGAGGAGGACTGAGGACGGGGAGGAGGAGGACTAAGAGAACGCGAGGGCTAAGGACGACGAGGACTGAGGACGAGGACGAGAGCGAGGACGAGGACTGAGGAGGAGGACTGATAAGAAGGAGAAGGAGGAGGAGTAGGAGGACTGAGGATGAGGAGGAGGAGAAGGAGGATTGGGGGAGGACTGAGGAGTAGGAAGAGGACTGAGGAGGAGGACTGAGGACTGAGGAGAAGGAGCACTGAGGAGGACAGAGGAGGACCAGGACGAGGACTAGGAGGATGAGGACGAGGACTAAGGACGAGGACTGGGAGGATGAGGACGAGGACTAAGGACGATGAGGATGAGGACGATGACTAAGGACGAGGAGGAGGACGACTGAGGAGGAGGACTGATTAGGAGGAGAAGGAAGAGGAGAAGGAGGAGGAGGGTGAGGAGGAGAACTGAAGAGGAGGAGGAGGAGAAGGAGGAAGACTGAGGAGAAAGAGGAGGACTGGGGAGGACTGAGGAGGAGGAGGACTGAAGAGGAGAGGGAGGACTGAGGAAGAGGAGCAGCTGATTGGTGAGGAGGAGGAGGACTAAGGACGAGGAGGACTGAGGAGGAGGACGAGTGCGAGGACGAGGAGGAAGACTGAGGAGGAGGACTGATAAGAAGGAGAAGGACGAGGACTAAGGAGGAAGACGAGAGCGAGGACGAGGAGGAGGACTGAGGAAGAGGACTGATAAGAAGGAGAAGGAGGAGGAGGAGGACTGAGGAGGAGGATAAGGATAAGGGGGGCTGGGGGAGGACTGAGGAAGAGGAGGACTTGGGGAGGACTGAGGAGGAGGATGACTGGGGGAGGACTGAGTAGGATGATGAGGAGGAGGACTGAGGATGAGGAGGAGGAGAAAGAGGACCGGGGGAGGACTGATGAGGAGGAGGACTGGGGAAGGACTGAGGAGGAGGAGGACTTATGAGTAGGAGGAGAATGAGGAGAAGGAGAAGGAGGACTGAGGAGGAGGAGGAATAGGAGGAAGACTGAGGAGTAGGACTGAGGAGGAGGAAGAGGACTAAGGAGGATCAGGAGGATCAGGAGGAGGCTGAGGAGGAAGAGGACTGATGAGGAGGAGAAGGAGGAGCAGGACTGAGGAGGAAGACTGAGGAGGATGAGGACGAGGGCTAAAGAAGAGGACTGATTAGGAGGAGAAGGAAGAGGAAAAGGAGGAGGAGAAGGAGGAGGACTGAGGAGGAGGAGGATAAGGAGGAGAATGAGGAGGAGGAGGAGGAGGAGGATAAGGAGAAGATTGAGGAGGAGGAGGATGACTCAGGAGGAGGACTCAGAAGGTGGAGGAAAAGGACTCAGGAGGACTCAGGAGGAGGACTGAAGAGGAGGAGGAGGACTGATGAGGAGGAGGAGGACGAGGACGAGGACTAAGGACGAGGACGACTAGTGTAGGACTGAGGATGAGGACTGATGAAGAGAAGGAGGAGGAGGACTGAGGAGGACGATGAGGAGGAGACTGAGGAGGAGGAGGAGGACTGTTGAGGAGGAGGAGGAGGATGATGAGGAGGAGGACTGAGGAGGAAGACTGAGGAGGACGAGGACGAGGACTAAGGACGAGGAGGAGGACTGATTAGGAGAAGAAGAAAGCGAAGAAGGAGGAGGAGGATGAGGCTAGGAGGAGGAGAAGGAGGAGAATGAGGAGGAGGACTGGGGAGGACTGAGGAGGAGGATAAGTAGGAGGAGGACTAAGGATGAGGATGAGGACGAGGACGATTATGAGGAGGACAGAGAATGACGACTGATGAGGAGGAGAAGGAGGAGGAGGAGGACTGGGGAGGACTGAGGAGGAAGAGGAGGATGACTGAGGAGGAGGATGAGGAGGAGGACTCAGAAGGAGGACTCAGGAGGTGGAGGAGGATGAGGAGGAGGACTCAGGAGGAGGAGGACTCAGGAGGACTGATGGGGAGGAGAAGGAGGAGGAGGATGAGGAGGAGAAATGTTAATGAGGAGGAGGAGGAGGAGAAGGAGAAAGAGGAGGACTGGGAGTAGGTGTGAGGAGGAGGGGACTGAGGAGCAGGGTGAGGAGGACTGAGGAGAAGGACGAGGACGAGGAGTCAGGAAGAGGACTGAAGAGAACTGAGGAGGAGAAGGACTTAGGAGGAGGAGGAAGACTTAGGAGGAGGAGGAGGACTGATGAGAAGGAGGAGGAAGACTAGGGAGGAGGAGGAAGACATGTAAATGTTTTGTCTGTTTTTGTCCGTTTTTGTTCGCCCTACTTTTTGTCCGTTTTGAAAATATAGGGTACTGAACGGACACAACACATGATCTCCCAGCCAAGCATGTGTTACGATACAAATGTACTTGACTTTACATTTAAGGTGCAGTGTACTAGTGATATTATGGTATGTTTAAAGACCGGACCACAAAATATAACCCGGTACCTAGTGTTGTACTAATACATAATAACAAGTAACAGGGATAAAATTAATGAGCAGAAACAATCGATCTCACGTCAAAAGGCCAAAGCACTCGGGTCTGGGAGTACATGACAACTCCAACTAGTAGTGAGCATACTAGCGCCCCTGCAGTGGAAAAACACATAAAACATACTATTGGAATAGCCAATTGGTTCGTTTTCTCATAACAATATAGCATATGTAGGGGTTATGGTTGAATTATATCACTTCTGAGAGGTTTTAGAGATCGATTCTGTAAATTTCTCAATTTTCCGATTTTTCCGATTTTTCCGATTCCGATTTTGGCCTCATCAACCCTCATATCGGACATCGGGTTGGACCCCCCCCAAGGTTAACCTTAATCACGATAATTTATCAAGGTATCGATAAATTCTCAATAAACTAACCCAAGAACTCTTCAATAGGTGTCTAGCTCAACCATTTCTCTTCTCGAACTGTTAGGGACGTCGATGCTGCTAAACCATAATAAAGGATCGGGCATTAAACATTTTTCAACGAGTAAGTAAGTCAGTCAGATCGCAGCAATATGAAGAGTTTCCTACTGATCTGTCAGTTCATCTGTTTAACTGAGGCTATCTCAAACTTGGAAATGAAACAGCTGAAAGGAATACAAAACCTGATGAAGAATCTCCACAACGGCGTCTTCACGACTTGCAACATCGTTTTCTTCTCTGATTTGGTGGACTTTAACACGGCACAGGAGAACTGCAGAAAGTTTGACGTTGGGACAGGATCTACGGAAGGAAACCTCGCCACTGTTAACACTGATAAGAAGAACGAAGATCTAAAGATGCTGCTGAGTATGACGTACCCAAGGGAAGAGCAGCCGAAAAGTGACTGGGCAGACACGAAGTGGGTGTGGTCAGGATTGAGGAAAACGAGGGATAATGTTGGAGAAGGATCCAAAGAAATGGTTTATGAAGCTACGGAGTGGCAGTGGGCTGACGGGTCAACGCCTGGTGACTTTGCGAGATGGTTACCAGGACAACCAGATCAAAATAGCCTGAAGAAGGGAAAGAAAGGTTGCACTGAAGATCCTAAATGTTACCAGAACCAGATGAGAATTAACCATGACGGAAACTGGGACGACACATTCAAGTTCAAGAAACACCCTTATGCTTGTGACTACCAAGGCAAATACATTCTCTCATCAGAGAAGAAAAGTTGGGAGGATGCCAAAACAGCATGCGATGACGCAGGACTGCAGCTGGCTAAAATCAGAACAGATGAAGAGCTGAATGAAATTATGTCAGCAATACAATACTTCCTGGGCTCTGGAGACGAATCCTGGTCGAAATGGGATGCTAACAATTGGTTGTGGTTGGGAGGAAACGACATCAAAAAAGAGAAAAAATGGATGTGGGTGGATGGAGAGAAGATTGAGTGGAACATTCCTTGGGAAAAGAAAGCTGGGAATGATAATTCTAAGAAGAAGATGAAAGAAGGACAAGATGCCATGTCCCTTTCCAGATGGGGCACTATTGACGACTCCTTCAGACTTGGGATCTTCAGACCATTTGCTTGTCAATGTCCAGGCTCTTAGACTGAGTGTAAAATATAATGAAAAGGTCCATGAAGTTCACAATAGACTAAGAGTTCTGAAAATATTTTTGCTCAATATTTGAATCTATTAGTTGCTGTTATTCTAATTGCATTTACATAATTTGTTTAAATTGTACGCTCAGCAGTTTTTCTGTTGATGGCAAGGTTGGGAAATAAATATTAATCCTGCCTGACAAACAGTTTTTTGTGTGACTTAAAAAGAAGTAAACCGATAGTCAAAACTAAAAAATTGCCAAAACATAGCTGTTGCAAATTTAAGTTTAATTTCGATTAAGTAACAATACCCGACCAGCATTAATCAAACTCTTAAAATCAAAAGTTTCAGCGAAAAGTGAAAACTTAATTCTCAGAAGAAATAAATGCGAGAAGAACAAAACGAAATGCTGGCACCATAATTTGTATCTCGGATATTCATTCGGCAAAATCATCCTTTCATCAAATCCAACAAAATTTTCCACAACAATTTCACCAAAATGTTCAGGATAAGTCTCAGATTTTACAGCCTTACAACGAACCAGCAGTAAAGCAAATCTCAAAATCCAGCAACAGAATCAATCCCGAATTCCTGGTTGTACCTCAGAAGATCCATTGAGCGGGCCCTGAGGTTGGAGTCTCCCAGCTCTGAGGGAGTACTGGTTAGCTTTGGCTGCCCCTCTGACCCGTTCCAGAGTTTTTCCCGTCACCAGACAAAGCGGCAACACACACGAGTAGAGATGAGGCAAGATAATCAGAACAAAGTCCAGGGTGAGCTTGTAAGGAGAACGGAGTCTCAGGATGGGATCAGGATTAATGCTCAGAACCAGATTTACAACTAGAGAAGGGAGGTAACAGGCGAAGTACGCGTACGTGCTCAACGAGGTTACTAACAGAGCTCCTTTCTTCATCGTTTTAACTTCCTGGCTTGTTGAGACCGATCTCCTGAAGAAAAAGTAAAGAACGCAGTAGGTACAGGCCAGAAAGAGGTTGACCATGAGAGTGATCATGATCAGCAGAGATGTAACGTAGTTTAACATCTCTCTGACCATGAATGGGGAGCAGCCAGTGGATTTCGGAGGACCAATGTACCCGAAACGTATCGTGTCCGTTACGATCGATAGGATCGACAGAAGGATGGAGGTTATGACGATCCCAGAGATGATTTTTAGGATGTGTTTTCTTTTAGCGTAGTTCTTGTATCGTCTGGGTCTTAGTGCAGCAGTGATCCGGAAGAGACAGATCGTGGAGAGGATGAGTGACGAGCTAAAGAAAATAGTAACCCGCGTTGCTCCTAGAACGTCACAGCCGACTTGAGGAATCCTTTTCCACAGTAAGACCCCCTCGGTTACTGCGATGAGCAGGTCAAGCAGACAAAATATATGAACTGCACCAAACAGCAGGAACATGGGCTGCTTGTCTTTAGCGATGATTATGAACGATGTAAGGGCCCGGCAGTTTAGAGGGATAAAGATTGAAGCCAAGACACCAAGGATAGCAGACATAATGATTAAGATGAAGAACACGGTGGGGGATATACTTTTATCCCCATTTTTGTAGATCACTGCGCTGGTCTTATTGTCGGGATAATAGATCTCAGTAACCGCGACCGTTGGGATAAAGATGACCCCAAAGTCCTGAGGAGACTTCTGAGGAGTGGGATCTATAATACTAATAGACAAATTGTGGCCCACAGGTAGTGGAGTGGAATCTATAATACTAATAGGCACATTAGGTAGAAACAATGTAGGACGAACGAAATTGGTGGTATCGTTACTCGAAGCTTCATCATCTTGATCTAACGATTCGATATGTCCACAGATGACGTACATGTTGTTTGTGAGCATTTGAAGGTTCATGATGATGCAGAGAGTGTTGAAAATTGCAGCCATCACGAAATTATTTCTTAGGAATAGAATTTCAATTAAAATGTCAGGGTACAACAATAACGTTATACACGAATTATTCAGTAAATCTTGGTAAGCTACAAATGAACTTGGTAAAACTATTTTAACTTTCGCTGCATAGCTTGAAGTCGCTACATATAATTATAAGGTGGGTAGAGCAACTTATAAAATAAAATACAAATGTTTCTAAAATCAGACGAACAAAGCCTCTGGGACTGGTATAGTAAGGGTGCTAAGGTAGCATTTTTTAAAAACAATCAAGTGACCTGGAAAGAATAAATTTAATTGGGTCGGTGCGTGGGGCACTCGTCTCTAACAGAGGTGATAGATTCGGACTTACTTGCGAACCAATCATACCTTTTTAACCGTTTATAAAGATTTGAAATATAAATAAATAGAGTGTCAGGTAGAAATCACCTAGTATAAAGGGTTGCGTGTGGGCAGTTACTGAAGTTTAAATGAGGAGCTGCCCATTGCAGCTAAGTCTTGGGCGAAGAAAGTATGGTACATACTACCTTAACCGTCACTGGCCAAATGAATAAGTTAAACTTCGGCTTCCTGTAATTGGCCGGTTACACTTGTGTAACAGTGTGACTGTTGGAATACTCCGAAGTAATTAAAGGGGGGGGGGGGGTGACATGTCTCCAATGTCTCCAATGTCTTTTGTCTTTTTTGAAAAGATAGGGTGCAGAGACATGTCCTGGAGACATTGGAGACATTGGAGACACAGCTTTTGGAGACATTGGAGACATTGGGGACATTGGAGACAAAGCTTTTGGAGACATTGGAGACATTGGAGACACTGGAGACGTAGATGTGTGATTGGAGAAGGAGGAGGATCTAGGAGGAGGATGACCCAGGAGGAGGACTAAGGAGGAGAAGGAGGAGGATGAGGACTCAGGAGGAGGACTCAGGAAGAGGACTGAGAAGGAGGAGGACTGAGGAGTACTGAGGAGGATGGCTGTGGAAGATGGCTGTGGAGGATGGCTGAGGAGGATGGCTGAGGAGGATGACTGAGGAGGACCTAGGAGGAGGAGGACCCAGGAGGAGGAGGACCCAGGAGGAGGACTCAGGAGGATGAAGAGGAGGACTCAGGAAGAGGACTCAGGAGGACAGACAAGGAGGAAAACTGAGGAGTACTGAGGAGGATGACTGAGAAGGATGACTGATAGGGAGGAGGAGGAGAAGAAGGACTGAGGAGAAGGAGAAGGAGGAAGACCTAGGAGGATGAGGACCCAGGAGGAGGACTCAGGAGGAAGAGGAGGAGGAGGACTCAGGAGGACTGAGAAGGAGGAGGACTGAGGAGTACTGAGGAGGATGGCTGAGGAGGATGGCTGTGGAAGATGGCTGTGGAGGATGGCTGAGGAGGATGGCTGAGGAGGATGACTGAGGAGGACCTAGGAGGAGGAGGACCCAGGAGGAGGAGGACCCAGGAGGAGGACTCAGGAGGATGAAGAGGAGGACTCAGGAAGAGGACTCAGGAGGACAGACAAGGAGGAAAACTGAGGAGTACTGAGGAGGATGACTGAGAAGGATGACTGATAGGGAGGAGGAGGAGAAGAAGGACTGAGGAGAAGGAGAAGGAGGAAGACCTAGGAGGATGAGGACCCAGGAGGAGGACTCAGGAGGAAGAGGAGGAGGAGGACTCAGAAGGACTGAAAAGGAAGAGGACTGAGGAGAACTGAGGAGGAGGAGGACTGAATAGGAGGAGGAGGAGGGGGACTGGGGGAGGACTGAGGATGAAGAAGACTGACGAGAAGGATGAGGAGGAGGACTGAGGAAGAGGACTGAGGAGGATGAAGAGGAGGAAGACCTAGGAGGAGGACTCAGGAAGAGGACTGAGGAGGACATAGAAGGAGGAGGACTGAGGAGGACTGAGGAGTACTGAGGAGGATGGCTGAATAGGATGACTGAGGAGGATGACTGAGAGGGAGGAGGAGGAGAAGAAGGACTGAGGAGAAGGAGAAGGAGAAGGACCTAGGAAGATGAGGACCCAGGAGGAGGACTCAAGAGGAAGAGGAGGAGGAGGACTCAGGAGGACTGAGGAGGAGGAGGAGGACTGAATAGGAGGAGGAGGAGGAGGAGGAGGGGGACTGGGGAGGACTGAGGATGAAGAAGACTGACGAGAAGGATGAGGAGGAGGACTGAGGACTGAGAAGGATGAAGAGGAGGAAGACCAGGAGGAGGAGGACTGAGGAGGAGGATGAGGACTGAGGAGGACTGAGGAGGATGGCTGAGGAGAATTGCTGAGGAGGATGATTGAGAGGGAGGAGGAGGAGGAGGAGGAGGAAGAGGACTGAGGAGGAGGAGTAGGACTGAGGAGGAGAAGGAGGAGGACCTAGGAGGAGGAGGACCCAGAAGGAGGACTCAGGAGGAGGAGAACTCAGGAAGAGGACTGAGGAAGACTGAGAAGGAGGAGGACTGAGGAGTACTGAAGAGGATGACTGACGAGGATCAGGAGGAGCAGGATGAGAAGGACTGAGGAGGAGAAGGAGAAGGTGGAGGAACTAGGAGGAGGATGAACCAGGAGGAGAAGAAGGACTGAGGAGAAGGAGAAGGAGAAGGACCTAGGAAGATGAGGACCCAGGAGGAGGGACTCAAGAGGAAGAGGAGGAGTAGGACTCAGGAGGACTGAGGAGGAGGAGGACTGAATAGGAGGAGGAGGAGGAGGAGGAGGAGGAGGGGGACTGGGGAGGACTGAGGATGAAGAAGACTGACGAGAAGGATGAGGAGGAGGACTGAGGACTGAGAAGGATGAAGAGGAGAAAGACCAGGAGGAGGAGGACTGAGGAGGAGGATGAGGACTGAGGAGGACTGAGGAGGATGGCTGAGGATAATTGCTGAGGAGGATGATTGAGAGGGAGGAGGAGGAGGAGGAGGAGGAAGAGGACTGAGGAGGAGGAGTAGGACTGAGGAGGAGAAGGAGGAGGACCTAGGAGGAGGAGGAGGACCCAGAAGGAGGACTCAGGAGGAGGAGAACTCAGGAAGAGGACTGAGGAAGACTGAGAAGGAGGAGGACTGAGGAGTACTGAAGAGGATGACTGACGAGGATCAGGAGGAGCAGGATGAGAAGGACTGAGGAGGAGAAGGAGAAGGTGGAGGAACTAGGAGGAGGATGAACCAGGAGGAGGACTCAGGAGGAAGAGGAGGAGGACTCAGGAGGAGGACTTAGGAGGAATGAGAAGGAGGAGGACTGAATAGGAGGAGGAGGAAGACTGAATAGGAGGAGGAGGAGGG